GCGACCCCGGCCCGGCGGAGGAAGAGCGCGACTCTCGGGGGCGTTGTCTCCGGGGCGGGCGCGCAGGCCCCGGAGAGTCGCGGGCGACGGAGCACTGCGACCGCGCACACTCACGCGACTGCGGGGCTCCCGGATCGGCAAGGTCGGGGAGCGGGCGGTCCCAGCCTACTTTCTGCGGTCGGGGCCTTCACCTCTGCCTCTCGGTCAACCACCCAGACCCCGCCATCTTGAAACCTCGCGCCCCTCCGCCATCCTTACGTCACTTCCTGTACCCGCGGCCGACGCTCTCACCGCGTTGCTGAGGCCCGGGACCATAGAGAGGACAAAACGACGTCAGGGCCAGAGTTGCTTCCGCTCCAACCCAACATCCGATTGGATAGCTGTCGCCCAAGAACCCGCCTCATTCCGAAGCATTGTAGATTGACACTGATATAGTCCAATAAGAATGAAAAGAAGGAAGCTGATATTTGATTGGTCAATTTTTGCCTCTCTCGGACTTCTGACGTATTTCCGGAGGCTCCTTCTGTTGAGACGTCAGGTGCCGGTGTCCCCGCCGGGCAGAGCCATGTCTTTGGTTGGTTCCCCGTGTTGGGTGTAAATGGATGAAAGTAAGTTCCCGAGTAACACTGGGCACCGACTCGGCGAACATCAACCCTCTGGTGCCTGGTGCTCCTAGAAATTCAGTAGTGGTTCATAAACACCCAGCACGCGTGGAACTGAAAAAAAAAGTCATTTCCTGGCGCGACTCACGAATAGATAAACTACACGAAAAAAATATTTTTAAAGAGAATCATAATACATACTTTAGATTTTACAGAGGAGAAGTTGTTCCGTAACACTCCCATCCCTACTTGTCTTTCCGTCAGCCCAAAGTCCTTTATGATGTCATTACACACTTGGAATAATTATTTCTCTCTAGTCCTCGTCCTTCCCTTCTTCATCCCCATTCCTTAAAACTCCTTCCCCCTTTCCCCTTAAAGGTAAGCATTTTAATTGAAATCTTCTTAAAGCTCTCATGCTTGGATGTTTTTCAAGATAAAGGTTATAAGGGAATTTTTGATACCAGGTGTTTCATAAGTATTGCGAGAGATGCATATTAATGTTTATAATGTGTCAAGTGTGTCCCACAACAGCGTTACGTCAGTTCCATACTTAAGCTTTGTTGTAGTAGAAAAAAATTAAAGTTTGAAATAGGATTGCTATGAAGCCATGACTTGCCTATTCAATAAGTAGGACTCCATCTCCCCATCCTCCTATCTCATCGTTTTGACTGATGGAATTGCAGGTATGACCCGTGATGCTTGGGTGTCTTAGTAAATTCTTGGTTTGATTACTCTGAGTGTCAGCAAAGATCTAGTCATCCAAAACTTACAAATCGGGTAATAAAATAATAAACCTGAAGGTGACCCAAACTGTGATATGTTGAAAATAATTTATAAAAGCAGCAGTAAAATAAAAAGTAATACATTTGAAAAAGTCATATGGCTAGTTAAAATTTTTCATATCTGTAAGATATTTTTGAGACATACTCAATGTTTTATTTTAATGTATCAATGTATTTTTTTTACTTAAAAACAAAACAACTATAAAAAAGACATTCTCAGCATCAGCAGTATAATAATTTTTGAAGTAGACCCTAAAATTGGCTCAGTGGGAATTTAGCTGAAGGATTTAGAAAACAAATGCTGTAGCTATAGAAATTAAGGTGTATCAGTAGGCCTCCATAGCCTCTGGCTGTTTCTAAAATTCCTAAAGGGCATGGAGTCTTCTTCCTCCCCCTAATACGTTTTATGCGTGGATAGTTGGGATTTATTCTTGTTCCAGAGTGTTACACTGCTGAAGTGATACATGACAGTTCGTCAATATTAGTTGCATTATAGAAACAAGTTTTATTATTTTATTCTTTTCCAAATCCACCCAGGCACGCTTTGTAATTAGTAGACACCAAGCCGAGTTCCATTGCCTCCTTTCATTCTTGAAGGAACTGTAGCTGCTTTGCTGTCCTTTCCATATTTAAATCCATCAGACAATTGGATTTAATCCAGTGGTAAAAATATGGAAGTATTTCTAGTTCTCCTGTAGGTCTGTGTCCCATAGGTGTGTGTCCAGCCCGATGAGTATGTCTCGTTAGACTCAAGTGACGGCTGGGACAGGTGATAGGCATGGTCTCGACATGTATGTGGGATGTTTGAGGACACTGATTGGGAACAAGGACACAATTCTGTACCTGCTGCTCAGTGATGCCTTTCTACCACATGGTTCTGACAGCAGGGGAAGAGAACGTCTGGTTAGAGACTCTCCCTTGAGGGTCTGGTACCTCCGAGTTGGGCACTCACTGTTGCTCCAGAACCCAGACATTCCAAATTATTTACTCTGTCTCTGTCCACATCAGGGGCATATGGAAAATGAAGCTAGTTAAAGAAATAAGCATTGCAATGAAGGGGGAAGCAGGGGACTAGCCCAGTGGTAGAGACACGACTTCATCTCATCTGGCGCTTCACGGCACTGCTGACCTCAGTGATGGCATGATGGTACCTCTCTGAGGCAGCCTTGAACTCCACCAGATGCTTCTCGTAACTTCTGATGGCTGCTTGAAGCTGCGTCTTCTCCACTGCTCCCAAGATGGCTTGAATGATCATATCTATGCCAAGACTAAGCACAGCAATTCCAATGCTACCAAGGAGAGAAGTCCCGATGTGAGCTAGCACTGTGACCAGCTTGTTAATTATGCCAGTTGTGACATTTGAGCCCACGAGTTTAACAGCCACTGCACTGGCTGCAGATGTAGCTTCTCCCAGGATGACCGAAATGACCTTTTGCACAATTGCTATCTTCTCTGTTTCCCTTTCCTTGATATCCTGAAGCTTCCTATAAAGGGTTGGCTCCAGTTTGTCTTTCAGGGCCTCATCAACCTTTTGCAGTTCCTTTTGGATTTTGGTCATGGCTTGGATAATGATGTCACAGTTTTCTTTGATGGTCCCATCTCTTTTCATTTCAATGAAGGCCAGCTTACAGCCCAAGTGGGTGTTCAGGACCCCTGCCAGCTTGTTGGTGACCTGGAAGCTGTCAGACAGGCAGTCCAGGAGCTGCTGGTGAAGGCGATTCACTTCTTGCCGCCTCTTTGGGTTTTCTGGGTAGAGGAAGTCACTCTGAGCCATATTGCAGCCACCGTCTCTGAAAAATCAAGCTGAAATTGTCACAGAGTACCTGTGTGACTCTACTCCAGAGGCCTTCAAAGTAGCCACAGCGAAAGCTTTCCCTGAGAACTTAGCAGGTTTGATTTATTTGTTGGTTTGAGACAAACTAGGTGTGAATTTCTGATCCTCCAGCCTCAGCCTCCCATGAGCTGTGCTTACAGGCCTGTACCCCCTGCCTGCTTTATTCGGTGCTGGGGACCAAATGCAGAGCTTCATTCATGCTACACAAGCATCCAGCAAACTGAGCTGAACCCTCACAGCCCTTCAGAGGTCAGCTCTCCACCTCTTGTTTACTTAGTTACTTATTTCCCCAATCCCTTAGCCAATACGTTAAGTGTGTGTCTACCAGATATGTTTCTCAGGCACCTAGAGGTAAATCAATAGTATAAAGATCTCTGGGTCTACAGTAACACTGATATAAATTTAGTGGGTATGCATTTGATATTGTAAACTATTCACACCAGGACCGTCTAGATGGCTTAGTGGGTACCAGTACTTGCTTTACAAACCTGAAACCCACATGATAGAGGCGAGAACTGACTCTTGGGACGTGTCCTCTACACACCTACCGCGGCATTCATGCACCCACCCACAACCACCTCACCTCTCCCCAATAAATAATTTCAAAATTTAAAAAGGGAAATAAAATGTTAGCCTATTTTATACCTCTACAGGCCAGTTGTTTTGAAAACATAAGGACTATCGAAAAGGATGCCCATGTAATATTAGAATCTTAAAAAAATTCTCCATGAGCCAGGCATGGTGGTGTATGCCTCTGACTCTGGCACTCTGGACGCAGAGGCAGGCAGATCTCTGTGAGTTCAAGATCAGCCTGTACTGCATAACAAGTTCCAAGTCAGCCAGAGCAGTTCAGTGAAATCCTAGCTCAAAATACAAAAAATTTCTCAGAATAAGAGTGTATTTTCAAGATGGTTGGTTGGAATATCATTTAAGGAGGATTGGGACACCAAACAAGGACAGGACAGTTATGATTATGTCTAGGACTCTCTTCGTAAAGCACACACATTAAATGATTTAGTATAGTCTATATTGCATGTGACCATTTGTTTTGTATGAAAGAGGGTCTCACATGTAGGCCAGACACATATGAATTCACTAGGTAGCCCAGTAAATCTCAAACTCACAGTCATCTCCTGTTTCTACCTCCTGAGTGCTGAGAGCAGCCATCACACTCTGTCCTCAGCCATTAAGACAGCCAAGAGTGAGTGTTTGAAGGAAGGTAATGGCTTCTCACAAAAGCATTAGTAGCCAAAGCACACTGTGGGACAATACAGGTAACTTGGGGGGACTTGTGCTGTGACTCACAGCACCTTCTACTAAGAGAAGAAAGCAATGATGCTTTTCTGAGTTTATTTTACTGAAAAACTGGGCACAGAAAGAACAGCCATTCTAACTTAATGTGCATACTTCAAATAGGCTTTCTGTGTGCTTGGCACTTTGACATTCTGTTAAACTCTGCAATGGTTAGTTTTATAATTATTTTATTTTATGTGTAAGAGTGTTTTGTCTGCATGTATGCATGTCTGTGCATCATGTGTGTGCCTAGTGCCCTCTAAGGCCAGAAGAAGACACCGAATTCCCTAGAACTGAAGTTACAGACAGTTGTGAGCCTCCATGTGGGTGCTGGTAACTGAACTCAGGTTCTTTGGAAAGAGCGTCCAGTGATCTTAACCTCAGAGCCATCTCTCTAACCCTGCTTTATATATTTATATATTATAAATACATAAAGGTATATATATATATATATATATATATATATATATATATATTTTACCAAGCAATCATTTCTCTGTTGTCTGTGTTGTAAGGCTGTCTTCCTGTTTCTGTTTTACAAGGCAGACAACTGACTACCAAGTTATATTCTGATCTTGTTTGTTCTCACATCTGTCCTTTTCTGTTAAAAGAACAATTATCTTGTGTTTGGTGCATCAGAGCACACTTAAAAGAATTTGATGCTGTCTACCCTAACACTGAAACTAAAGCCAGCTAGCATCTTTGAACTGCGTTTGTTGTTTGTAGTTTGTGTTCGGTACAATTTTCAGAAGTGCTTTTCTTCAACCTAGTGAAACACAAAGAAGGAACTATGGGTGATGCTCCACTTCCTTGGTTTTTCTAATCAGGTTAGGAAGTTAAGGCATTTATAACTACAATGTCAAATTGAAAAAAAATGGTTATACAAGATTTGTGATTGACTTGTGTGAAGTCAATTTTTAAACAATTCCCACTTTTTATTTCTCTCTATTAGTATTGCCCCCAGGTAGAGACACTTGATTACTCAGGAAGGGTCACAGCTTGTGGGTTTTTGAACTGATCCCTTTAAATGTGCACATGATAGTTAAGGCTCATGCTGCACGAAGTATCGAGAGTGGATAATGTGTGCTGCTTCCATTCTGGCTTTCAACTGTTTGCTTCTGAATTTCAGTCTGGTTGCTCTACTCAGTGGAGCAGAAGCCCTGTTATTAGGCTTCTTAAAGCTCACTGATGCCTGCCAATGACACAATGCCATCTATGCCCGAAAGGTGTTCTGGGCCATACACTTACTACCACTTTATTACATTTTTGACAGTTACTTGCCTGGAGCCTGTTAAAGATCGAGGCATTACTAGGAGCCTCAGAGGTGAGTTTAACAGGTAACAGACCTATGTATGGCAGATTTGGGCTTTCATAAAATCTGAGTTATCATATAACCAGTGCTTCCTGTGAATGAGAAAGCTCTCACTCTGTTTGAAGGTTACTGTCCACTTCTTGCAGCATCAACTAAGCCAGATTCTAGTGCCCTTCCACAGCCTGTTGGGAACTCGCTAGCCAGTAGGGGGAGCTCGTGGCTCCTGGGAGTCCCATCTCACCCATGCCTTTGCTGATGCAGTTTTGCTGTGCTTGGTTTACATCTGGGCTCTAGGGGGTTAAAATATAGTTTGATGTGAGTGTTGGGTAGTTAAAACAGGCTTTTGAGTCCAAGAGTAGTTGTGCATAACTAACTCAATCACAGAATTTAAGAGGTAGAGGCAGGAGGATCAGGAGTTCAAGTTCAAAGTCAACCTCGACTACACAGTGAGTCCAAGATCAACCTGAGTTACCTGAGACTGTCTCAAAGTGGGTGGGGTGGGGGAGAAATAGAAAAGAAAGGAATTAAGGTTAATTTTATGGTAATGTGCAGGTGGTTTAACTTTGCTGGAAAAGAGCCACATTACAAGAGAAAGGGTACTGCCTCTTAATAATATCAATATAAATATCTCTGGCAGGCATGGAACTTTGGATGTAATCCAGGCTGACCTTGAACTCATAGAGATCCTCTTATCTCTGCCTCCCACATACTAGGATTAAAGGCATGTGCCACCACACCTGGTTTACCATGCTTTAAAATACCTATTTAAATTAAAGTTTAAAGTTAACGTTCAAAATAGTGGGCTTCATTATGGTATTTTATACATATATCTCATTATGCTTCTCTCTTATTCACCCCCTCCTTCACTGCTATGTTGCTTCTTGCTGGTTACGTTTTCCACAAGACTCTTTAGGGTACTTTATGAACAACACCATTGCTTTGTCTGTCAAGAGCTACAGGAATTTAAAGAGAGAAATGAAGATTGGGGGACCTGCAGGAAACTTCACAGAAGAAGCTTCATATAATTTGAGTTCTGGTAGATGCCCAAATCATAATGTTGAGGAATTAAAAATAGTAACAGAGAATATTTTATGTATAAAACCATTACAAAAATGTATATTTAAACAGAGAAAGACATCTGCAGTCCTACTATCTCAGTTTGTTGTAGTTAGTCCTAAACTTTGTCTATGTGCATAAGGATCTCTGCAAAGTTATAGTCACGGTAAAATGATAGTAATAGTAAAATTCTTTTTATTTTAGCTCATTTACTTTCCTATGTTTCTAATTTTATAAGACTTTATTAGTTATATAAACTATTCTAAATCTTTATCATTATTCATTAAATCTCAAATTATGTCACTGATGTAATGTTTATATGGATGATTTGGTTAGTTTATTTTTCCTCCATCATCCGTGTTATTTCCCTGGAATAAATAGGTAGAAAAACAACATAAGAGGAATTATTTTCACATGGAAGTAAAAGTTATTTCTCTCCTTCTACCTCGTGACTTCTGGGGATCAAATTCAAGTTGTCAGGCTTGACAGCACACACTTTTACTATCTTAGTGATCCTAGTTTTTATTACCTTTGAAACATATTCAAATTGCATTTCAAAAGCTTTTATGCTGATAATCAAAGTAAATTTTCATGCCATGATACTGATCTCTCTCCAAAGTGGTCTTGTTGAAATAGTGTTGATTTGGAGAACATAGGATACATTTCAGAAGAAATTTTCCTTTTAGGAATGTATACTTAGGACATTTAATATGAAATGATAAGACCCCTGGGATTTATTTCTCACTAAATTGGAACAGATAGTATGGTGGGATTGTAGTCGGAGGCTGCTCATTTGTTCCTAGCTGCAGAGCCAAAATAATCCCACAAAAACTATATTATTACAACACTGCTTGGCCTATTAGCGTACGCTTCTCATTGGCTAGCTCTTATATCTTAAATTAACCCATTTCTATTATTCTGTATTTTACCACAAAGCTTGTGGTTTACTGGTAAGGTTCAGGGTGGCAGCTGGCATCTTTCTTCTCTGGCAGCTCCTTAGCTTCTCTTTGACTCCACCTCCTCTCTCCTCTATCTGTTTCAAATTCCTACCTTGCCCTGTTCTGTGCTGCATTAGGTACAAAGTAGCTTCTTTATTAACCAATGGTATTCACAGCATACAGAGGGGAATCCCACATCATGGGGTCATAGAAAAATAAGATGGGCCTTGTTCTGTCCTTCCTAAAGCTAGGTCGAAGGTCAAAGGATAATTAATACATGCAAGTTCACTATGTCAGTATAATCACTGCTGTGTAGATCTGGACTTTGTCCATAATAATTATATTTTATATTACATGCGCACACAGAGAGAAAGAGAGGGAGAGGAGGTAGGGCCAAGGCTCCCATATTGTCACTGGTGTTCTCTCAGCATATGCACTGCTGTCTTGGCTCCTCACTGTCCACTTGTGAGTGGACACAGCATACAAATATGGCCAGGAGCCTTGTAGAAGGAAAGAGCAGCTGCTGTCTAGTCCTGAGCCTCACTTCAAATCAAATCTCTGGTGTTCAAATTTTAAGTTGTGATACATTTTCTGATACCAATTCCTCTGAGAAATATTTAGAACAGAATGCACTAATGATTCTGAGCATTCTATTAGATAGTAGACTATCAAGTTTATCCATTTCCACTTATCAAAGGATCCCATTAAGCACTTGAGACATTTCTGAGAAAAACAATGCTCACCTCATCAAAGGCTGTTTAAAGGCACATGGTGTGTGTGGCACACCAAGTGTGGTTGACTTCACAGAGTACAAGCAAGAGCTGTGTAGTAACTAAAGTAAGAGCTCACTTTCATTCTCTCAGAACTAGCTTCTGGGTCTCTTGATGACATTCATGACATAGAAAGTACATGTTATCCACACAAGCAACATACTTTCATGCATCATGGCACCTCCAGCCTTCTTAAAATGAATGTCTGCATTGCTTTTCTCCTTCAGTGACTTAGTCCTACATCTTTCAGTGAAAGTATTCATTCCCTGTCATCTTCAAGGAGGCAATCGCCAAAGCATACCCTGCGATCCTCTCAAAACAAAGCTGGCACTATATGTGGCTCCCCAAAACTGGCGTTATTCCAGAGCCCTGAACCCTTGGCACTCAGGGTGTTAGAATGCTCACTCGTAGGACTTTCCACATCGCTTACCTTGTTGGGCTCCCAAGTTTCTGTCCCCTCTGATGTTTAGGAGTATTGTTGAAGGGCTTTCTCATGTGGGTTTATCTGGAAGCTTCTGGTGGAATGTGATGATCTACAGGCTTTGCTGGTCGCTGCTGGGTCCCTCTGCCTGTCGGGTTTACAGCCACTTCTCCCTGGTATAGTTCCGAGAAGCCTTCAGTTTCCGACAATACAATCTGTTGATGCCATAAGCAATGTAACTTGAGGGATTAATAAATTGGCAGAACTTGTTTCTATATTTTCTGCTTTTTAATGAGTTTTTCTTATATTAAAAACGCCGTAAAACTGAACAAAACCAAACAGGCAGAGGGATGACTCTTTGGTTGTAACCTTGGGAATTCATCTTATCAACTCCTCCAGATTTATTTTCTTTGGCTTCTACTGCGTTTGGACCTTTATCTGTTGCTGGTGACTTTGTTCAGATTCTTAGGATATATAAAACCAGACACAGTCAAAAATGTATCCCAGAGTTTGTTTTTTCCCAGGCTAGGAGTTTTGTTTTTGTCACTTGTTATTGTCTTAGCAGAGGTGCACTGGTCCCAAAGACTCAGTGCCTGGGTCTCCCTTTCCTCCCTGCACTGTCTCCTCTGCACTCCCCCTTCTCCCTCCTGAAATCATGGCTTCTGTTTCTCTAGCTGCTGTTGTTAAGTGTACACACACACACACACACACACACACACACACTATATATATATATATATATATATATATATATATATATATATATATATATTACACACAGTCCTCTCACTCCATTTCGTGTTACTTGTATGTATATGATTTCAGTGTTTAACACTTGATATTGGCTGATCAATGAGGTGACTCATCCCTGGGAAGACCATCTCTCCCCACATCAGCTAAGACCATCTCTCCCCACATCAGCTCTCAGCATTCCTTTTCTATTTTATGTGTATGTGTGTGAGTGGGAGTCTGAGCGCACATGAGCACAGCATGTGCAGCAGCCTGTAGAGGTCAGAGGAGGACATTGGAGTTATGGGCAGCTGTGACCTGCCATGTAGGTACTTTTAACTGAACCCAGGTCCTCCGGAAGCGCACACAATGCTCTTAACCTGTAACATGAGGGCCTGCTTGTTTGGGTTTCTGTCCTGCCCAGTTCCCACAGCCAGCAAGTCCCAAAGAAAATCACACAGAGATCTTTATAGGTTATAAACTGATTGGCCCATTAGCTCAGGCTTTGTATTAGTTCTTATCACTTATATTAACCCTTTATTCTTATCTATGTTAGCCAGATGGCTCGGTACCCTTTTCAGCCAGGCAGGTTACATCCTGCTTCTTCGGTGTCTGGACCAGACTGCAGAGGAATAGGCTTTCTCCTTCCCAGAATTCTACTGTTCTCATTGCCCCACCTCTACTTTCTGTCTGGTTGTCCTGCCTTTACTTCCTGCCTGGCTATTGGCCAATCAGCATTTATTTAAAACATAATTGACAGAATACAGAACTGTCCTGTACTATTAATCACTGAGCCATCTCTCCAACCCAGCATGTCAATTGATGCTGTCTTTGTAGGTGAAAATTGAAGGTGAGTAGTAATTCCCACACTACTTTGGACTTCTTGTCCCAGAAAAAGTCTCATTGCTTTAGGAAAAGTAGAGGACTACCTGCCTCTGGGAGGCTTTGAGAGCACTGGGGTGGGATGAAGCAAGAGGAAGTCAACTCCAAGAGAAGAACGTACAGACCAAACTTAACCAGGAGACCTGAGAGGGAGTGACCCCCCCGCCCCAACCATGCTGATTTTCCTTGTTGCCTAGCAAAGTCTCTGGCATTTAGACCCTGGACAGTATTCACTTTGAACCCTGTCCCCAGGCTGCCCCTTCTGCTGTATCTTGTTTTTTGACATCTGGGCCCCACATTTCAAAGCCCCATTCACAGAAGGGATTGGCCCTGCAGGACAGGTGAGATAAGCATTCAGGTTTGGGGACCCAGTGGGTAACAGAGTTGACCTTTTCAGTGTGTTCATCCCCACAGCCTCAGGACAGCAGTTGGTCTATGGAGAGATTACCTTAGGTGTGAGTACACAGGCAATGGCTGCCATTGCTATGTGGCAGTCTCTTTGTCCAAGCCTGTGGTGTCTTGGTGTGCTGTTTCCATTGTCCTAGTGGGACTCAGGGAAGGTGAAAGAAGTAAGGAGAGAGGAAATGAGGAAGGAAGGAAGGAAGGAAGGAAGGAAGGAAGGAAGGAAGGAAGGAGAGTGTAAAGATGGCTGAGCAGATGTCTGTGCAGGTAAATATGGAGTATGTGGTCCCAGAGGACCTGGAGGAAGTGTAGGTCCAAGGCAGCCACATAGGCATCATTATCTTCATTAGCACCACCATGGCTATGCCCATGTGGGTACCACCATCTTGGTTACCTACATGGTTGCCCTTGGCTGATGGTGGTCAGGCGACTCCACATGTGTATGAGTCTAATTACCAACGCTGCATGAGTCCCCAGTAGGACTGCAAGTTCATGCATCTCCCAGGCTTGCCATGGGGTTGGCCCAACAACTGAAGATGAGCGTAGGCCTCCTGATTTAAACACAGTCACCTCCTGCCTTAAGTGCAGGGCTCGTCTGGAAGCCACCTCCAGGTCTAGTTTTAGGACCTGTCTGGAGCCTGCTGGTGCGTGTGCTGTTTTGTCCTTTGTCCTGGTGTGGCAGGGAAGAGGATCTAGGCACGCTGTCAAGGTCCAGCCGCCAGGCACTATAACCAGACAGGAATGAAGAGGAAAGGGGTAGATTAGACTGATAGTCCGTGCGCTGTTGGTGTTCCTGGGGAGTCTTGGGACAGCACACAGTATTTGATTATGTATGTTACCAAGGAGCATGTTGGGGCCGGGCCCTTTTGTGGCTTCTTAGCCTCTGAGATAAAATAATCTAAAAAAGAACCCAGAAGAAAACTTAAGGACACTTCAACTGGAGTTCAAGGTGGGTGGGGGGGAGAGCAGACAAGTTGTAAATCTTGACAGCTTCCAGGAGGAGGGATATGATGTTTAGTGTTGTCAAACTAGGCAGACTCTAGAATCACCAGAGAGATGGGCCTCTGAACATGTCTGGGGAGACTGTCTAGATTGCATTAACTGTGGTGGGAAGCCCCACCCCACTGTGAGCGGCACCATTCCCCAGATCGTGGGCTGCAGGAGTGGAGAGGGGGAGCTGAGTCTAAGCCTGCACTCCTTGCTCTCTGCTTGTCTGTAGCTCCTGTATCTGTGACATCTCCACACTGACCGCCAAGTGTGGCCAGGGTGCCAAGACGAGTGCCCTCTCCCCTACGTTACACATCAACAGGAAGGAGCTAAGATAAGGGGATGGGTAGGAAGAAGAGAGAGAATCCATCTTTTGAGATAGAAATAAGTTTGCGAGCATTTGTATGAGGAAGAGGAGTGGAGAGAGAGAGAGAGACAGAGAGAGAGAGAGAGACAGAGAGAGAGAGAGACAGAGAGACAGAGAGAGAGAGACAGAGAGAGAGACACAGAGAGACAGAGAGAGACAGAGGTGACCAGAGTATCAAGGCAAGCAGGACTAGGGTTTGTGTCAATATCCAAAACAGGGGAGAAAGCGAGAAAGAAAAACTCCACCTCTGAGGTAGGACTCAGGATTGACAGTGAAGATCTGCTAGCCTCTGTGGAGGTTTTGTCTTTGTAATAGTATGTTTTTATATCAGTAAACACCAACCATTCCTCTCACATTCCTCTCACTCAAGAGGCCATTTCAGCCTCTCTGTTGTTATTGTTGTGGTGTGGAGGCCTGCACTTGCCCCAGCTGCACTAGTGATGTCAGGAGAGAGCTCACAGGAGTCATTTTCTCCTTCCACCCGGTTCTGGGGTCAAACTGAGGTCCCCAGGCTTGTGGGTGGCCGTCTCCCTAGGGCCCAGACAGTGTTGTAGCAGGACTAGCTGTGCATCTCACTTCTTCAGCTTGCAGCTTTGAGGGGTCCTATCTAGGTGACTGATTATGTAATCTTACTTTGTTTGTTTGCATTTTGAGACTTTGAGACAGGGTTTCTCTGTGTAACAGCCCTGGCTCCTGTAGACCAGACTGGCCTCAAACTCACAAAGATCTGCCTGCCTCTTCCTCCTGAGTGCTGAGATTAAAGGCATGTGGCACCATTGTCTGCCCCCCCCATCACCAGACAAGATTGTAACCTGACATTCTTATGGGCAGTTCAGAATGTCATGTGGCTCAGGGCCAGAGGTAGAGCTCAGATTCCATTCTTTGCCCCAAAGAATAAAAATACCACAAAAATAGAGCAGAAAAGTCAAGATAAGTTTTAAAAAAATCTACAAACTACCATACTAGGAAGAAATTATGCGCTCCCCTGCCCCCCCCCCCTTTCTTTTTGTGAGCATGGTCTCTCTACATGTCCTTGGCTTGGGGTGTCCTGGAACTCACTTTGTACTGACAGCGTCCTTAAACTCACAGAGTTCCACCCACCTCTGCTGGAATTAAAGGCCTGCACCACTATGCTCAGATTGAAACAGCCTCCTCTTAATGGAGACTGAGCAAGCCCTGCTGCCCCGCCCTCCTCCTCTCAGGCTTCCTCCCTCTGCTGTAGCATTTCCCATCTAAGGACAGACGTGATATTTCCCCTTCTGTAAAGTTAGTGTGTTACCAGGGCAACTACATGTGGGGTTCAAAGCTGGTCCTGAGAGGGAGGGATCCTCTTCAGTGGCCTCCATGCCTGCGAATGCCCAGCTAGCTACCCAATGTGTAAGTAGGTATAAATTCAGCAAGATTTCCTGCACTACCCTCCTGCTCTACCCTCTGTTTCTATTAAAGCCCAGAACCACGTCTGCCTCGCTACTGGAGAGCTCTCCTGTCCTTGTCAGGACTTTTTGTGTTTCAGTCATCCTTTAGTCTCTTCATGGTGGCCGGCTCCAATCTTAGTTTCATTTGCGTTCTGCTTTGCTTAACAGGGCTGCGAGTTCTTTGTTGGAGAAATGTCTGCGGAGTCAGAAAAGGATAAAGAGAGACTGAGTCAAGCTGCCAAAATATTTTTCTTCCACATTCGAGATCTGGCTTCCTTCATAAATAAGTTCGTTGAGTTGTTTAACCTCACGATGAAGACGCGGGTCCTCCCGGTGGATCTGAAGGAAGACTGTTGCATTAAAGATTTCTTTGAGCAAATGATCACAAATTTTAAAGAGATGCAACTGATGGTTGAAGCCAAGCACAAACAAGGGCAGAAGCGGCCTTTATGTTCCACGGTGGCGACTGCTGTGACCTCTGCAGTGGAGAAGTGTGTCAACGTGAGCCCACACCACACAGTTCGAGAAATGCTCAGAAATATCCAGGTCCCAGCCGCTGCCTCTGTGCTGAGCAGTAGTCTCGTCCTTGGGAGTCTGGAATTGTCTTTCTCAAACCTGATGCAGTTCCCCATCATGGGTCTCCGATTATGTGACTTCTATAGAGAAGAGACCAAAGAACAATTGGGTGCCACCACATCCGAGAAAATCACAAGTGCCACCACATCCGAGAAAATCACAAGTCCAGAACATCCCAAGGCCACTCCAGAGGATGCCTTGAAGAAGCTGCAAGATGCCCTGGGAACTGAGGATGCCCACAAGCCAGAGGAAACAGCCGCAGATGAACTGGAACAGTTAATCCAGACTATGGAGCTCACCTTACAGGTCCTCCAGAAAGCCATAGAGACCATGGAAGGGGGCATCTCCACATTTAGGGAAGCTGGGACCAAGTAGAGGCGCAATGCAAGATGTGTTCCTTTCTGTCTGAAATCAACTGGAACTCTCATTTTTTTTGTGGTACTTTGTACATTCCATCAATGCTGTAAGGGTGGTATGTTAGCATTTCAGTCTTGAGAGGCATCCTTTGACAAACTGCTCACCTGTAGTTCTGACTGGTTACACCAAAAGGGATAACCGCAGTGATCAAATAGAATGTGCTGCTGTAGGGATCAAGGCACTCAGTATTTCGTTCAGGAATCTTCTAAATCTGCTGTTGCTTTGAAAGCGTTAATTAAGCAACTAATCTCTCCTTCTCACAAGTCCATCTGCAGTTACAACAGCATCCAGTCCAGGCAAGTGCTGGCATTCTCATATGGTGAACTCTTCTGTACTGTAATCCATACTGTCATCCGTTCATTATCATAAAGGAAGGAGTGTGACTGCCCATTCCCAGGAAACACAACCCATGCTTTGACTTCTTACTGATACAGGGTGACATTGGAGTCTGGTCGTCACCTTCCTGGGATTTCCAGGGTTCTGCATCCCAGAAGAAAAACTGAACAGAGAAATCTGTACTATACCAAAAACAGACAGTTCATTAAGAGCCAGAGAGGAAGGAGACCAGAGCTGGAAGGGTGTTAATTGCTCAGTGGTTGTGCTGGGAGGCTTGGGACCCTTGATGTGACAGGTGCATAGTACCAGCTTTCTCACATGGCTTTCTTTTTTATATGTGCATTCGTGTTTGGCCTGCATGTCTGTGTGAGGGAGCTGAACCCCCTGGAACCTGAGTTACAGACAGTTGTGAGCTGCCATGTGGGTGCTGGGGGAATTGAACCTGGGTCTTCTGGAAGAGTACCCAATGCTCTTAACTGCTGAGCCGTCTCTCCAGCCCCAGTTTCTCACACATACTTGTCCTGGCTTTTCTGCCATGCTGTCCCATCTGTAACACGCCCACCCGAGTCAGTCTTCCCTTAGGCCACACGTTTGGTTCGTGTGCTGATCTCACAGCTTTTGTGTCAGGGTTTTCCTGGCCCTCACTCAGCCCTACTCCCCTGCCTCAGTACAGTTTCTTTAGGACCCAGTGTCTCGATTATCACAAACCACTTAGGACTAAGTAAAACAACAAATGGCAGTAATATAATTTCCTTGCTTACATGAAGAGGACCAGAGCACAGAGTTTGTTCTCACCGGTTTCCTCTAAGGTCTTGAGGGGATACTAGCAGCTAAAACATGAAGGTGGTTTTGTCAGGGTGGACAGAGCAGGGCGGGCACACAGTTCCATTCATCTCATGGCACTCCAAAGAGTCTTTCTGATGTTTCAGGGGACATCACTTCGGGACAAACTAGTATTCACTGTAGAAAACAATTTTAGGACTAGCCAGGATAACACAGAGTTGGGACTTAATAAAGACTGAGGGTTAAGACAGAATGGTTTCCAGAAGGGAAGTAAGACACACCCTAGAGCGTGGATGTGGGATTCTCTAAGAAGAGTTGCAGTTTATTGAAAGAGAGAGAGAGAGAGAGAGAGAGAGAGAGAGAGAGAGAGAGAGAGAGTATTTGCCTTTCCGAGACAAGGTTTCTCTGTAGCTTTGGAGCCTGTCCTAGAACTAGCTCTTGTAGACCAGGGTGGCCTCCAACTCACAGAGATCCACCTGTCTCTGCCTCTTGAATGCTGGGATTAAAGGCATGTACTACCACCGCCTGGCTTAAAAGAGTATTTTTAATGCAAATTTTAAACACACGTTGGGGGAACTCCAAGTGTGGGTATGGTCTCCCCAACTGAAAGTCACACTTCAGTGTGAGCTTTGAAAAAGTGAAGTGGACACAAAGTCCCAGCCCAGCCAAGAAGCTCTTTGCAATTGACAGCAGGAGAGGGAAAATCAATTTTCTCCAGTGTGTCAACCACACCCCAGGACAGGCCCCAAGCCTAGGGGTAGCTGGCCAATGAGAAACAAACTCCATGTTTTTTTGTGTGCTTTTTATATTGTTTTATTGGTGTTTTGTTTGTTATTTTGGTTTTCCTATTTTTGATAATTTTAGAAGAGAGAACATGAAGGTGGGTGGGTAGGATCTGGGAAGGGTTTGGGGAGTGAAAAAGCATGATCAAAATATGTGAAGTTTTGTCATGGAATATCTTTTTTTCTCCATCTTTGGTGATTGAAAGCTTTGCTGGGTATAGTATAGTCTGGGCTTGCATCCATGATCTCTTACTGTCTGCAGTGTATCTGACCAGGACCTTCTGGCTCTCAGAGTTTCTGTAGAAAAGTCAGGTCTAATTCTGATGAGTCTGTCTTTATATGTTATTTTGCCTTTTTCCTTTGCAGCTTTTAATATACTTTCTTTATTCTGTATGTTTAGTATTTTGATTATTATATGGTAAGTGGATTTTTTTCTGGTCCAGTTTATTTGGTGTTCTGTAAGCTTCTTGTACCTTCATAGGCATATCCTTGGTTGGGAAAGTTTTCTTCTATGATTTTGTTGAAAATATTTTCTGTGCCTTCGAGCTACGGTTCTTCTCCTTCTTCTATCCCTATTATTCTTAGGTTTGGTCTTTTTATGGTGTCCCAGATTTCCAGGATGTTTTGAGTTAAGGATTTGCTGGATTTACTGTTTTCTTGGACTGATGAATCTAATTCTTCTATCATATTTTCAACTCCTGAGATTGTTCTCTTCCATCTTTTGTAATGTGTTGGTTATGCTTGCATCTGTAGTTCCTGTTTGTTTACCCAGAGTTCCCATTTCCAGAATTCCCTCAGCTTGTTTTCGATATTGCCTCTATTTCAGTTTTCAAATCTTGAACTGTTTGAGCTGTTTGCTTCACCTGTTTGTGTTTTCTTGGGTTTCTTAAGAGATCTATTGATTTTTTCCCCAATTTTTTGTTTGTCTTTTTCTCCATTTCTTTAATGGAATTTTTCATTTCCTCTTTAAAGGGTCTCTATCATCTTCATAAAGTTATATTGAAGGTCGTTTTCTTACACTTCTTCTGGGTTAGGACGTTCAGGTCTTCCTGTTGTAGGACCACTTGGTTCTGGTGGTGCCATACTGCTCTTTTATGTTGTTGGATGCGTCCCTACAGTGCCATCTGCCCATCTCCAGTCCGCAAAGGTGCAGCCTGTGGCTAAGGTGGTCGCTTTTTTCCAGGTGCAGGCAGGTCTGTGTTTCTAATGGATACTGATAAACTCTGAAGTGCCTCTCCGGAGGCAGTCTGGGCCAAGGCTCTCTCCAGGGGCAGCCTGGGTCAAAGCTCCCTTCAGGGGCAGTCTAGGTCAAGGCTCTCTCCAGGGGCAGGCTGGGCCAAGGCTCTCTCCAGGGGTAGTCTGAGCAAAGGCTCTCTCCAGGGGCAGTCTGGGCCAAAGTTCTCTCCAGGGGCAACCTGTGTCAAAGCTCCGGTGGTCACAGATGTGGTGGAGGATGCTATCAAGTGTGTGGAGACTACTCGGGGTCTCCCGGGCTTGGTGGGTGGGACGGGGCAGCGGGATGTTCCTCCCAGGGCCTAGAGAGCTGAGTCCTCTCCAGGCAGCCTCATGAAATTTTTAAATAAAATAAAAGTTACAAAAAAGAGTCCTATTTCATTCTTTCAACACTTACATGCAGGACTTTGGTGAGCATGAAGCTATTATCTTCAAACATTTCCGAGGATGCCAAGTGAGATGGCAGGTGGTTCCTGAGGGCATCTGACCTGACAAGCTGTAGCTGTAGATCTCAGAGGGGCAGGAGCTGTGGTGATTTTACCATAAACAAAGTTAATAGTCTCCTTTGAGATCCCCAGAAAACGTTCCAGAGAGGAAAGCCCTGCCTGGCAATCTCCAATCCCTTATTTTCCAACTTCTCAGTTCAATCTTTGCTAGGCCCCGAGGTTCCAGAAATTCAGCAGAATGACAGTTGGATGTGACCAGATCAAGAGCCAGGGATGTCTCAGTTGGAAAATTGTTTCTCTTGTATGCACCATTGCCCCTTATCGGTCCCCAACCCTGAGTAGTAGGGTGTGGTGGCACACACCTGCAATCTTAGTGTTCAGGAGGCAAAGACAGAAGAATCATCCTAGTCTGGGATGCAGAAACCTTGTTTCAAAAAAAACCCAAAACAATAAAAAATTTAAAAAGAAAATGAATTAATTTAACAAAAGTCAACCGGAATCAAATCTGTGGACAACTAACCCCCCAAATACTGATTTCCTAAGTAAATTATCCAGAAACTTTATTTTCACTGTTTAATAAAATTATTCATTCTTGTGTATGTTATGGGTGTTCTGCCTGCATCTATGTATGTGTCTACATGTATGCAGGATCCCTCAGACTCCACAGGAGAGCACTGGAGTCCCTGGAACTGGAGTCTCAGACTGTTGTGGGTGACCATGTGGGTGCTGGGACCTGCGTCTGGGTCCTACGCAAGAGCAGCAAGTGTCTCGCCCCTCTCCTGCTGTTTTAGGTAAAAGAGTACACACAGAGCTTCAGATGGGCACATTGAAGAAAGCACTGTGCTATGACATAGAAATAAATATTAAATGCATTCTGGATATTTTTATACACACAAACGAAAGACGCGTCATTACTTGGATGTAATCACTACGAGAGGTAGTCACTTTGTGCCTTGTCTAGTAGTTTCTTCTAACGGTCTATGTAAATTTTTCAGCATCAGTTTTCTCTGTAGAAGATACCCCGGACTAACAGAAGAAGACAAGAATTATTACAGCGAAACAGCTAGACTAGTCTACCGTTTCATGAGTGTCTGAGTGTGTGTGTCTGACTGTGTGCGTGTGACCAACTGTGTGTGTGTGATTGTGTGTGTGAAGAGGCCAAAGGCTCATATCAGGCATCTTCTTCTACCGTACTTCACAATGTTTGATTGACAGGTTCCCTTGCTGACCCTGGAGCCCGCAGAATGCCTTCAACTATCTCCCAGCACACTCTGGGCATCCTCCTGTCTCCACCTTCCCATGCTGGGATTTCAGATGTGTTACCAGGTCCAGCTTAAACTATGAAATGCTAACTTGGGTTTTGATTTGATGTAAATAAAAGACCCACTTTACAGATTTCATACTTAAACACTTTGAACTTGTGGGAGAGCTCAAGGGAATAGAAACCATGCTTTTATCCTTAACCAAACTCATAAGTCTGCATTATTTCAGAAGAATAATTTCTGTCTCCAGAGCTTTGGTCTGTGAATAGCAGCAGGAGGGAGAACTTAAGTCATCAGCAACTTAAGTCAGGAGGAACTTACTTCCTGAGAGTCATGACCACATAGGTTGCAATGTTGGAGGAGAGAGGAACTGGATGAAGGCACAGACTGCTAAGAGTCTGCTGATATAGCAGCATCTGCTTCAGAGCCCATATTTCTACCGTGTTCACTGCGGGCTGCTCGAGACAATGGTGTTAACTGTATGGAGAGCACTCCATAAGATTCCCCTGTTTAGAACCACCGGAAACCTGATCAGACACAGAGATGAAATGCTTTCGGCTGACTTTGTGGCTTTGTTATGTGGCTTTATAAATTTTAAAATATTTGAAACAATATTTGTGCGTGCATGTGTGTGTGTGTGCGTGCGTGCATGTGCACATGTCGAGGTCAGAAGATAACTTTGAGGAGTCTTCTACTATGTAGATTCTGGGGGTCAAACTCAGCTCAGCAGGAAGTGCCCTTACCACAGAGCCATCTTGTCAGCCTGCATTGTGGGTTCTAAGTCTCACCTTCCACCGCCTTACTCCTTTCTCTGCCAGACCTAACTATTTCTTGGCTGTATAAATTTGAGGACTATCCAGCTTTACCTTTTCTTTCTCAGCTGTCCCACCCACATGAGGTTGCATCTAACCTAGACACATTCTCATCTCTGCTAGAAAGCTTCTATATCCATGGTCCAGAGGCATCTCATTTTCTTCCCCGCTTCATGTCTATGGTTTGTTTGTACTTGTTCTGGCCACAACACACTGCCATATACAATGTCTTATTGTCTTCCTCCCCTCCTCTCACCCCTCCCTCCCACTAGACATCCTGTGACCTGGCTCAAATACTGGCACCATCCATCCAAAGCCTTCATCCAAAGCCTTCATCCTGGTTCTTCTTCAAGGCATCTTAAAAGTGCCTGGACTCTCATGACCCTAGGACTTGGTTTTCCGTTCTTTCCATATTCCTCTTGAGACTTTTTCCTTTTAAATTTCTTCTTAGAGAATACAAATTTGTGAGAGGTCTGATCAAATGTATTTAAATTTTAAAAGTAAGATCAAGCATATCTCTGCTACTGTGCATGTGTGTGAGTGTGCGCATGCCATGACATCCATGTGAGGTCGGAAGGTAACCTTCGAGAGGAGGTTTTCCCCTCCAACCCGCCAATCTTGTTTTTAAGGCAGTTTTTTTTTTTAATATTTCCGTTTGGCTGGTTGCATTTGAGCTTCAAAGTGATTCCCTTCTCTGTTTTCCACCTCACTGTAGAAGTACTGGGATTACAGATGCACATGACCATATATTGCTTTTTATGTGGGTTCCAGAGTTTAAGTTTAGTTGTCAGGCTTGCCCCGCAAGCCCCTTCACCTGCTGAACCATCTCGCCCACCCTGTCCTCAATTTCTAACACCGAAATCACATACCACAAATTCTAACACCAAATTTCGTTGATCACAATATGGCGCCAAAGAGAAATGTATGCCGGATGTTGGGGGACTTTTCCTGCTGCCTCTCCAGGGCGCCCTGCAAAGCCGTTCCCTAGGCTGTCACCAAAGACTCTATGCAAAGGGTAACAGAAACTGTTTGTGGTAATTCTTGTTCCTTGTGCTGGATAGTTTTATGTCAACTTGACACCAAGCTATATTCATCTGAGAGGTGGGACCCTTGTTTGAAAAAGAGAATGCTTCCGTAAGATTGGGATGTAGGTAAGCCTGTAGGGCATTTTCTTGATTAAGGGACTGATGAGGGAGCTGGCACAGCCCATTGTGGGTGGTGTCATCCCTGGGCTGTGGTCCTAGGTTCTGTAAGAAAGCAAGCTGAGCCAGCCTTGAGGAGCAAGCTGGTAAGCAGCACCCTCCATGGCTTCTACATCAGCTCCTGACTCAAGGTTCCTGCCCTGACTTCCTTCGTTGATAAATAGTGCTGTAGAGGTATCAGCCAAACAAACCCTTTCCTTGCCAACTTGCTTTGGTCATCGTGTTTTGTTGCAGCAATAGTAACCCTAAGTCAGTCCTGTTAGTCTGGGACTCCCCAGCTGCAGAGACAGGGTGCCGGCTGCTGAGGAGTCCGACAGGTGGCTTACTTGGCTAGCTGTCCATCCTGCTGTTTGGAGTATATGGCTCCTCCCACACTCCTCTCTGGGACAGACGAGCTGATTTCCACTTCCGGTGCATTTTATCTCGGTCCTCTTCAAGGGGCTAAGAATTGCATCACGTAGTCAGAGTTCAGTCACCCCACACTCCTTATTCCATCTGCTGCACTAGCAGGGCCGTTGGAGATCAGGTCTGAATTTAAGCCATACATTTCTTGAGGGAAAGGCTAGAAAAATATATATTTTGTATATAATGTATATTCTGCATCTCATAGTACATAACGGAACTCAAGTATTTTGGTAGTTACTTGATAATCATTTCCCCTTATAGTCTCACCTTGACTCCGCACAATCCTCTCCCCACAACATAGGCTTTTCTGCAAGGATTTGAAATAAAAATTTCTATCTAGTCTATAAAGTAACATGCCTAAATTCCAGTTTCTAATAATGTTTTAGGAGCATGCATGTAGGAACTTGTCACAGGCATGGCTGAGGTTTTACTAGCTGATAGAATGCCTTGTTGGGTCAGACTCAACCGGAGAGGAAGAAAGAGAATGCGGGTCTCCCTGTGCTGCCTGAGAAATCTAACACCAACACATTCCATTTTCCCACCCAGGTTTCTGCACGACCGTGCCTCCCCGTTTGAAAGCGTATTGATTTGATCTTGAATGCTGACAAAAGTCCCAAAGAAAAATCATTCGGTGTTTTCCTTCTCACTCTTCTGTGATTTGTTTACTACTTAGGATCACCAAGTTTAAAAAAAAATGTGAACGTGTGTGCTCGCAGACCCGTTCCAATTGCTTGAGATAGAAAACGGAATCCAGATTACGTTAGCAAAGGCATCATTTATTGATTCGTGTAATGATGAAGCTTGATGTAAGCTTCAGGCACAGTTCTGCCCTAGGGCTCACCACACGCTCCCGCCTGTCTCAATTCTTTCTGTTTCTTAGCTCGGCCTCCACTGAATTCGCTTCTCAGGAGGCAAATTCTTCTCTCTTTGTGGCAAGGAGGCTGGTAGCAAGGCTGAGCACACATGTACCGCTTCTGCTAATCACCCAGAAGAAGAGATTCCTGCTGTGCTCCTAAGCTGATTTTGAAAACAAACCCTGGCTGTGTCTCATAGGCTACAACTGAGTGGTGGCCTCTCTCACTGTGGGTCTCCGGTCAACTCATAGGCAAGTGGTGTCCTGATTGGATAAGAATGCGCCTGGTAGAGGCTACCATGCGCTTGGGCAATAGTGGAATAAAGGTCTTTGCCAGGTCTGGTTAAGCAGCTGCGGCAGGAGAGTGGTCCTTTGTGAGGTTCCTGCTAGGGCAGAGAAAAAAAGGCATCCCTGAGGACAGAGCCTGCTCAGGACAGGAACATTCTGCCCGGTGTCTGTCTGCACTCCCATCTCTGTAAGAGCACTTTGAACATAAGACCTTGTTATGGTTTGAATGTTAAAGCTCCTTAGGTCTTGGAGTACTTAGTGTCTTGAGGTTTGGTACCCTGTCCCACTTAAGCATCTGTAGTGCCCGGTGTCCTGGTGCCATGCATTTCCGGCCATGGTGTTCTGTACGTTTATAAGTAAAACTTTCCTTTTGAACCTTGAACTTCTGCCTTTGGTTTTGGTCACAGCGACAAGGAAGTAGCCAATATAGATAGATCCCCTTCAGTAGGGATTTGAGACAGTGTCTTCTGCCTTAGTTAGGGCTGGTTTTGAATAAACTTATTTTCTTCCACCAACTTCTGTCTCCTGTATCCTCTGTGGTGTGGTGGGAAGTGTGGATCTCAGATTCTGATACCAAAAGATGAGTAAAAAGTTTAAATAGCTCCTTTAAAAAGGAGCCAGTGGATTCCTTTGCTCTCTGTCTATGGAGGAGATAACAATGCTGACCAAACAGAGGCAAGCAATAACCATCAGATCAGGGGTGCATCTCCTGCTGGAAGCTGGAGAAACAAAAAAGGACACAACTTAGAGATGGGTTAGGTGGGGGAGATTTTTAAACATTTATTTTTTAAGCAAAGTGTAGGGGCATGTGACTTTAATCCCTGGGTGCCAGAAGCAGGTGGTTCTCTGAGTTCAAGGCCAGCTTGGTCTACAAAGGGAGTTCCAGGACAGCCAGAGCTGTGTAATGGGGCACTGCCTCAAAATAAAGATCTCTCTCTCTCTCTCTCTCTCTCTCTCTGTCTCTCTCAATGTTTTTTTTCTTTCTCTCCCTTACACACACACACACACACACACACACACACACACACACACACACACACATTCACGTCTGAGATGGGGTCTCACTCTTTATATAGCTCTGGCTGATCTGGAACTTGTTATGTAGATAAGTCACCCTCAACTCACAGAGACCCACCTGCTTCTGCCTCCTGTGCAAGGTTTGCTTTATTTTGAAACACGTGTGGACGCATGTGTGCTTGTGTGGAAGTGTGCACACCAGAATGCAGGAGCCCACACAGGTGGTTGTGAGCCACTAGCTATGTGTGCTGGGAACTGAACTGCGTTCTTCTGACAGAGCGGCAGTCACTCTTCCCTGCTAAACCTTCTCCCCAGCCCTAGCCGCAGAGAATTTTCTTTGGAATGAGCCCATTTCTTTCTTATTCATTGATGTAACACAGTGACTTCCTAATGGGAACATTTGAAGTCAGTTACTTTAAAAAGCTAAACTCAAAACAACTCTCCATTGTGATTTGAGCATAAACCCTCAGTGTCCAGCTGCTGGTGCTGATTTGGAAGGTATGCCAACCCTTAGGAAGTGCAGTCTTGCTGGAGGAATTACCCACTGGGGGCGGGTCTTTGAGCTTTATAACTTGGCCGTATTTTGTCTGTTTTGCATTTCCTGTGCTCTTAGTGAGAAGCTGCGTTATACTCCTGCCTTAGCGCCTTCCACACTGTGGTGGACTGCGCCTCCTCAAGCTGTAAGCCCAAATAAATCCTTCTCCCTCTTAAGACATTTTGTTATAGCATCAAGAAAAGGAACCGACTCTTTGATGTCTGACTCAGAGAACTTAAGTTATTCTGCGCAGGAGACAGGAAGAGGTCCAGAGACTTTCTCAGTCTCTGGGCCATCATCATCTTCATCATCATCATCAGCTGCTGCACGACTCCTCCCCTATCATTCCTGTCTTTGTCATCATCTTCATCACTGCCAAAGCTAACCTTTGATTAGTCTGGGTCTGTTTTGAGCCCTCAGCATTAAAAATATACGTATTAATGTGGGCGTGTGTGAATTCCAGTGCACATTACATGTGTGCACATATGTGTGAAGGCCAGAGGTGGAAACTCAGCATCTTCCTCGTTACTTTCCACCTTAGTTTTTGAGAGAGAGACACTCACTGACCCTGGAGCTCACTGATTGGCTAGAATAATAGGCCATGTAGCTCTGGGGTTTCACCTTCTCTACTTCCTTTCCCCCCTCAGTACTAAATTTGCAATGTGTGCCATCACATCTGATTTTTTTTTAAATGTGGGTGCTGGGGATCCTTATGCTTACGTAGCAGGAGCTTTACTGACGCAGCCATCATCACCCTGCCCCCCTCGACATCTGCTAACCTTTTTAGCCTTCACAACAAACTTAGGAGGTATTTATTTTCCTTGTCTTTGTTTTGTAATTGATAAAATTGTAGCAGAGGGATGTAAAGTGTCACATATGTAGTGAGAGCAGCCGAAGCAGCCTCGCTTAGGCTGCTTCCCCTTGGGAGGCTCTTTCCTCAGACAGGTATGAGTCTAACTCTCCCCTCCACCCCTGCGCACCCCTTTTTGCTCAGCAGCTCCTCCTCTGTGGTACTTTCCTTAATCACCCATTTTAATATTGCAACTCTCCCATACTGCATCCCCTAGGCCCTGGTTCTGCTCGGTTTTGTTCCATAGTACCTACCGCCCAATAACCTACGGTTTGTTTTGTTGTCTGCCTCATCAAAGTGGAATGGAAAATCCCTGAGGGCAGAGGTGTTTCCCTAGCCATTCCCTTGCTAGAATGGTTCCATCACATAGGACATGCTCAATGAATATTTACAGGATGCGTGACCCCTAGCTGTTGTTTAATACGGTGATGTTACTACATCAGCCACAAAAGTGGCATTGTCACCCTATAATCCTGTTCATCCTTGGCAGCCTCTTCATAAGAATTAGGACGATAATTTTTATTATTTTTAACTGTGACATCTGTGTGTGGCTCCTGAGTATGTAAGGTGAGTGCAGGGGCCTGAGGAAGACAGAGGCATCAGAACCCCTGGCACTGGAGTTATAGCTAGTTGTGAGTTGGCTGATGTGGGTTCTGGAGACCAAACTCAGGTTCCAGAGACCAGTACATGTTCTTAACTCCTGTGGTAGTTTGAATGTAATTGGCTCCCATGATCTCATAGGGGATGGCACTATTAGGAGGCATGGTTTTGTTGGAGTGGGTATGGCCTTGTTGGAAGTGTGTCACAGTGGGGGTGTGCTTTGAGGTTTCCTATGCTCAGTGTTGCAGTCGACTTCCTGTTGGCTACAGGATATAGTACTCTCAATTCCTCCAGCATCACATTTACCCGCAGGCTGCCATGCTCCCTGTCATGATGAGGGAACCTCTAAAACTTTAAGTGAGCCCCCTCAATTAAATGTTTTCCTTATAAGATCTGCTGTGGTCCTTTTGGGTATATACTCAAAGGATTCTCAATCATGCCACAAGGACATGTGCTCAACTATGTTCATAGAAGCTTTGTTTGTCATAGCCAGAACCTGAAAACAACCTAAATGCCCCTCCACCGAAGAATAGTTAAGGAAAATGTGGTACATTTACACAATGGAGTACTACACAGTGGGGAAAAAAATGACAGCTTAAATTTTGCAAAAAATGGATAGAGCTAGAAAACATCATTTTGAGTGAGGTAACCCAGACCCAGAAAGACAATTATCACATGTACTCACTCATAGGTGGTTTTTAAACATAAAGCAAAGAAAATCAGCCTACAAACCGCAATCCCAGAGAACTTAGTCAACAATGAGGACACTAAGAGAAACTTAGATGGGAAATAGAAAGTAGAAAGACAAGATCTCCTGAGTAAATTGGAAGCATAGGGACCTTGGGGGAGGATTGAAGGGGGAAGGTGAGAGGCAGGGAGGGGAACAGAGAAAATTGTAGAGCTCAATTAATATCAATAATAATAAAAAAGAGCTGCTGTGGTCATGGTGTCTCTTCACAGCCATGGAAGCAGAACTAAGACAACTGCCGAACCATCTCCCCACTCCCCAGAAGC